TGCTGGTCCCCTCTGACTAGTTTATAACAGGCCACTAGATCCCCCCTCAGCCTTCTCTTGTGAAGGCTGAACAGGTTCAGGTCCCATAGCCTCTCCTCATAGGGCCTGCCCTGCTGCCCCCTGATCATGCGAGTGGCCCTTCTCTGGACCCTCTCCATGTTGTCCACATCCCTCTTGAAGTGCAGCACCCAGAACTGGATGCAGTACTCCAACTGCGGCCTGACCAGTGCTGCATAGAGGGGGAGGATCACCTCTCTGGACCTGCTCGAGATGCATCTGTGGATGCATGACAAGGTGCGGTTGGCCTTCCTGACTGCATCCCCACACTGCCGGCCCATGTTCATCTTGGCATCAGTGATGACTCCAAGATCCTTTTCTGCCTCTGTACTGACAAGAAGGGAGTTCCCCAATACAAATAACAACTCTCCCATGAATTCATGGAAATCCCAACCTGTGCACATGGATGGACATACACAAAATAAAAACAGCAGCCGAAGTGATCAGAAGGTCTGCTAGTGTTTTAGGTCAGTGGTGTTCAACCTTTTTGCCCAGAGGGCTAGATAGGCAGTGGCCAGATATGGCCAGTGGTCCTGATCTGACATGTGGGGTGTGCATGGTGGGCTCCATCTGGCTGTGTAGGGGGGTGGGGAGGCCAACCCAACCCTAACCCTAACCTGGCTCTCCTGTGGGTGAAGGTGGCTTGACCCAGCCCTAACCCAGCCCCATGGGGGGAAATGGGGCATGGCTCAGCCCCAGCCTACCACATGGGACCGAGGGCTTGGGAATTTGGCAGTAGGGGAGGGTGGCTGCATTAATGGACACCACTCCCATGCTGCCAAATTTCCTGACCTTTGGGGAGCTCCGCAAGCCAGATGCCAAGGTTTTGCAGGCTGCATTTGGCTCACAGGCCGGAGGATGAGCACTCCTGTCTTAGAGACATTGACAGGTTGCAATTTAATTTAGGATAAAATTGAATCAACTTTTAAATGTCCTGATTTTTCCTTATTCACATTTAAGCAGCCTAAACTGCAAACTTAAGCAGGCTATTAAAGCCTAATAAGTGTCTCACATACTGTGGTATAATTCAGGTGTGAAGTCCATTGATCTTAGTGAAGGTTCCACTACTATAAAACCAGTGTAAGAGCAAAGCCATGTCGACTCCCTTTTAATTAAAGCACTGGGACAAAGTAGGCAGCTAGAGGAGCACATTTTTTTATTTTTAAATTCATTAATACAAATCTAAATTTGCCAGATATTGCCCATTCTAGCTGTAGTTCACCTCCACTTGTGGGATGAGAACTTGCATTGGCATTGCAAATTTAAATAGAGGCCATTAGAGGGCAATTTAACTTCATTTTTGAATAACCCTAAAAGCTTGTCACTGTGAGTAAATAAAACCAGAACTGCAAAATCCTTCCTGGGCTGCCCAGGTGTGTTGGACACCAACCCCTTCAATCCATGCAGCTTTTTGATGTTTTGCTGCCTGTGTCTCGCCTCAGACTTTAGGTTTTTGTGCTTTGATAGTAGTGTTGTCTCCTGTGTGCAAGTTCCTTGTTTTCCTGCCTGAAGGATTTGCCAAGCTACTGGTTGCAGAAGGAGTTAGGTGAAGTTGAGACAATGCTTTATGTTGAAGAGGAGCTTTTTTGTTAATTTTGGAGGGAGCCGCGTTCAGAGAAAGGGTGGTGAATTAGAACTGCCAGAAGGAGATTCCCTACGTAGGAACAATTTGCACATGTGCTTATTTGTGGCAGTAGCTAAATATAGAAGAAAGAACTGATTGCCTGTGAACCAGAGTCCCAGACAAGTCAAATGTGAGAAAACCGATGGCATTAAGTCTATTCCAGCTAGTCTTTTCCTTGAGGGTCAGTGCAGATTTTTTCCCTACAGTGTTTGATTTAAAGCTGTGGACAGTCAGTGGGCACGTCTACACAAGACACTATGTCACTGTAGCAATGGGCTATGGTGACGTAGGGTCAGCAGGCATGAACTGTGATGCCAGTGCTACTGAGGAGTAGGGTCAGAAACGACCCATGCACCACCAGGACTGCACAGTAATGGCGGTTACTGCACAGTCTTTTAGTACATGTTTTACCTAAAGCAGGTACTAAACTGCTCCCAGTGACAACTGCACAGTTGGCTGTGTAGACGTGCCCAGCGTCTTGGTGTTAGCTATCAGACTAAAGCAAAACACAGCTGCATATGTGAAGGTGAAAGAAGGAACATTAATACCAGGCCTAGATTTTCTGATGCAGCCCATACTTATATGCACACCATTTCCATTGGGTACATATCTCAGGAATTTGGGCTGAGCTTTATTGGGCCTTTAAATGTCTGGCCAATAAAAAACATACCACAAAATCATCCCCATGTCTTGGAAAGGAACATTCCCCTTTTCGCAGGTGGCATTTGGAGGGAGGATCTGGATGGCCAAACTTATTTTTTGTTTTCTTTTGTTATTTAATGCTTTAGCATAAGAGTTCCCACACATTTGTGGGAGACTGTGCCAGTTTACCACACTGTGACCCAGAGTCTGCCCAATGGTAATGATTGCTTCCATCCAACTCTCCTGCTCTTGGTGCTGGGGCTTCCTCCTACACCTATCTCAGAGCAGTGAGAAGCCAAAGCTCTGTGGAAAGTTGGCATGTGCACGCTTGCATGAAGGGCAGGTAGTGGTATATGCACCACCATCCAGCAGAGAGGCTCATCCCAAGATGGAGAGAGACATCCTGCTGTACCAGTCACAAAGGCCTGAAGCATCAGTGCTATGGTGGAGACTGCTGCAGAGCTTGGAACCAGCTGCCAAACTGCAGGGCTTATGGCTGGCATAATCCAAGCTAGATATCGTCATGGCCCGTAGCAATAGCTGGGCAGTCTGTATGGGAACCTGATACAGACAGAGGAGACCAGACAGGATTTATCCTTTGGGGCCCCACGCAAAG